ACCAGGCCTTCGTACGTCACGTGCCCCCCTCTCGCCATTTCCTGACGTCGACTGAGTCTCCTGCAGAGCGTGGACTCGCCCAAGGACGCACAGGAAAAAGAGGAGGCTGAGGCGAAGAAGTCCCAGTCTACTGAGGGCGCATCTAGCCAGACGTCCGAGGCCGAGACTAAGCCGGACCAGAGTGAAAAGCCTGGAGGGGCGCACACCGGCACGCTTCAGAGCGAGGAGGACTCGGGGCCGACCAAGGTCCAGGACGCCAGGGAGCACGCAACGGTAAGCAGTCTGGAATAGGCCAGGCAGCCGTCATGTGTGCTCACCCTGCATGCCGCAGTCTGGACAGGCCCCGAAGCAGGCCAGCGAGGAGGCAAAGTCCGACTAGAGCGCTCCCTGTATATCTTATCTAATATCCAAAGCACGGACATTGCTGCATGCATAGCTGCTTGCCTGCAAGTAGCTTGGCGCATATACTTACGAAGAGGAGTTCACCCCTAGAATGATCGTTGGGAGCGAGCGCATTCTTGTTCGTTTGTCTTGTGAGGGCACGGAGTGAACGCCACGGTGCTCCTGAGCGTCTAATCATGCCGCGTGGGAAAGACTTAAAATGTCCCAAAACGGCGATGAACATAGCGCAGGGAGCATCCGCAGCCCGCGCTTGCTCCAGTTTGCTCCCTCCCATCCTATTTCTGGTCCCCCAGGCTGGCTCTGACCCCATCCGCTCCTTATACCCCGTCCCTCCCCACCAAGACTGTACCAATGGCGAGCACAAGCCCTCGCCCGCCCTCGCGCCCCGCCTCGCTCTCCGACTCAGGCTCCTCGGGTCGTATATCCCCCATTAATGGCTATGATTCGTCTGCCGCACTTATCCTTGTCCCCGACTCCGCGGACCCGTCCGGCGCGCCGTTCGACATCGACATCTCGAGCGAGGATGAGGAAGAGGACGAAGACGAGCAGCGCGAGCGCCTCCTCGCCTCGCCCGTCCCGCCTCTCTCGTCCCCCACCGTCTTCCTGTACCTCCTCGCGCCGTTTTTGAAGTTGGGCGCGACGCTTGTCGCGGACGTGCAGATGCGCAGAGAAGCGGAGGTGCTGGTCTTGCTCGGCTTCGCGGGGCTCGCGGCGTTCACGAGACAGATTTGGTACATGTTAGCGCGTTATGTGCGGCGCGCGGATATGGAGGAGATCGTCCTGGAGGCGTTTGCGAGAGGCAGGGGGCATGATACTAGGAGGAGGCTGCTGCGGTATGTCGTCCGGGGGAATGTCGGGGTGCTCAGGATACTCCTCGCAGCGGTATACCTTCGAGGTGCGTTTGTGTCGTCTCGGGAATATCTATCCGGCATCATTGACTTGTCGGTGCAGCCTCAACGGATGCTTTAATCCCGCTTCTGCCCACGAGACTACTCCTTCCCTCAAATATTACGACCACGCTCTTACTGGCGCTCATCATACTACCCCTTTACTATTCCCCGTCGCTCGGAAAGGCCAAAGTGGTATATGCAACTTGGACCTCCATTGCAGCGTTTGTTGCATGGATGGCCTGTATGGCGTACACACATGCAAAGGGAATGGTGACTGCGCAGGCGAGCTCGAGCTCCTTAGGTTCGCTCTGGGAAGGGATACGTGCGTGTTCATTTCTACTCCCTCAATGTTCAATTCTTATATTGCTCCACAGCGGTCATCGCGTTTGCGTTCACCACTGGCTCTACAATCCCCCTATATGCGTCGCTCAAAGGCGATGTACAGCCTGAGCTTCTGAAGCAGAAGCGATCCAAGTCGTTCAAACTTCTCTCTCTCATATCCGTTGCATTCGCCTTCCTCCTGATCCTCCCCCTTGTCTTTTTCCAGTCACCGAATCACTCTCCGGTATGTTCACATTGCTGCGGTCATCCGGAAGCACCCTGACTGTATTCTACGCAGCAGTCGCCGACTTCCACGGTCCGGACGATGACTGCTATCTTTAGCGCGGCCGCACTCTCGCTGGCTATACCATCTATTCTCATCACCTCTCCAGCGCTCCCTGTGTCATTCGCCATGCGACGCCTTACGAATTTCCCTATATCCAAAACACTTGTCTATGTTGTCACAATATCCCTATCTCTGTGCCCTCAGCCTATTTTTGGAATCCTGAGCGATGTGTTGCTTGTACTGGCCTTCCTGAGCACGTATATGCTACCAGGTGCGTCCTACACATTGACGGGGATCATGCATGCACTGATCAGTCATCGCCCGTAGCATTCATCCACATCATCCTCCACAACTTCCGCCGCCCGTTGTCTATCATTATACCGCCAAGCACACCGGCGATACCCCGCACGGCGAGTGCAAGCGAGAGCGACTCGCGATACGATGAGCTCTTGCAGCGCAAGGAGCGGACGCTTCAGAGGCGCCGCCTCGTCCGCCGTATTGTATGGGACATCGGCGTCTGGACACTCCTCGTGCCTGTTGGCGGCGGGGGCCTCGTGTGGGCGGTGGGCAGGATTGCGGGACAGTGGTAGCCCAAGCACGAACTAATTGTTAATGTGTGCCCGCTGTGTGTCGTGGAGCACTCGATATATCCGGTGTCTTTTTGGTTACCTGGGAATCATTTGTATCACTATCTGTAACATATTTCCGTGCTGCATCTGTTGTCCTGTCCGGTGTTTTCGCGCATTCCCGGTCCCGCATACGTTCGTCGCAACTCCGCGGGATGATCGTGAGCCACGCGAGAGTTGAGACGGAGCTGGATGGCGGGCGCACGACGATCGCGTCGTGACCATCAACTGTGTTCGCAACGTCAACCATGCCGCGCTCCGCGTCCCCTCAAGCCTCGTCTCCTCGTCTTGCGTCGCTGGTGCCACCTCCAAACAAGAGAGTCGTTGCCGCGGAATGGCAGCTGGTCATTCTCAGAAAACTCGGCGAACACACCGGGTTGGACCACATCGCGAGAGAAGACATCACACGAGCCGCGAGGGAGACTGGCCTGTACGTCGGGTCCTTCTGAGCACGCTCCGTGGACGTTGATATTGCTCCCCCTCCAGAGAAGAGAGGTGGATCCGCAAGTGGCTGAGTAGGCGACGGGTGCATCGGCGAGCCTTGAGGTCTAGCATGACGTCGAGAGCCTCAGCTGGTTCCCCATCGCGCAGCGCCACGCCCCTTGTTTCGGCCAGCTTCTCAGACACCCGGTCAGACTTCAGGCAAGGATGGCTAGGCCGGGTGATACTTCCGAAAGCCCAAGACGACGTCAAGCCTATCCCTCAAGTTGAACAGTCACTTGAAGCTCATGCAAGCCCAGCACCCACCGAGATAGACTTGGAAAATGCCGCAACTGACGTACAGGTCGCTCGCCCTGGCGCATCTTTCACTGTCTCGCTGAGGACTCCTGCTACGCACTCGGAAGACTCTGCAAACCCGCCGCACGCTCTCTCGGACCACGCCTTCGACCCACGCTCTTTCACTCGGTCGCCATCTCTCGGATACATCCCTTTTGCGTTCCCTATGGTCTACTCCACCTCTGCCGCTCAGCCTTATGTGTACGACGAGAGCTCTCCGGACACTTCCGTTGACGTGGGCAGATCTTCTCAACTGCAGTACCCTCGGGACCCGTTCTCTCCGGTCATGCTACCCGAAGTACCCTCTGTTCACATTCATCTCGGCTCCGTCCCTACGCAAAACGTTTCGGCTGATATGGCGTACCTCTCTCGGCTACTCCTCGAGACTTCCCAGCCTGGCGCCCTTGAGCCTGTCTCCGCTCCTGAATTCTCAAGTCACTTGTCTACTAGGGCCTCCTATGGCACGCCTTCGTTCGCTTCCTCGGCGCAGGCCTGTGCAAGCTCTGCGTTCGCAACTGCCAGTACTACCCCTCCTGGTATCTGCTGTGCTCCGCCTCCGATTGCATACAAGACACGCTTCTGCGACCTTGCGGCCCTGACGAAGAGGATCCGCACCACCTTTGAAGAGAACGTCCTGTCAGATATGCGAGACTTAGTCGATGGTGATTATATGCTCCACAACTCGCCTTGGGAGACCGGTCGGTACATTTGCCTACTGCGCAAACTTGGTCTCACACGATTCTCCAGATCTGGAACTCAGCCAGCGAGCTTCAAGCGGACGTCAGTTCGCCGAGTCGGTTGCTGCAGCCTCTCCTCGTCCGGCTCCGTCGGCAGCTCCGGGCGGTTCTGATCAAGGCAGCGTAGACGTGGTCGACAATGACTCGGACGATGGAGAAGACGAGCTCTTGACTCCTTCCGGAGATTTACCGTCGTTCTTCGCTCCTTTCCCGCCAAACGAAGAGAAGAGCGCTGCGGTGTCTGACATGGAATATACGGATGGACGTGTCATTGTCGTCGCTGCGGACGCAGATAGAGAGGAATAGTGACCTGGCAGTCAGAAGAACAAAATTTCAAGTCTCGGGAACCCCGGTTGTCTTCATGTGTACCATATACCCCGCACCGTCGTCTCTTTCTTCGTTCCCGCTATCACAATCTCAAAACTCGTTCCGGGGACACCCTGCATGTATTTATTGTCTTTCGCTACGTGGATGTGCCATTGTGTCTCGACTTGCAGTTCACTACCATGATTGATGCACACTAGCAATAATCCATCATTACTCTCGATGGGACTCAATGGTGAATATGTGCGAAACACGCCGACAGCGAAGAGTCCATAGCTTTTGCATTATGGTTGGTTTGTTTTTTTTCCTCTTCGGCGGAGGATTAAGCAGCATGAAGCATATTTGACCAGCGATGCCAGCGTTGAAGCTTGAAGAGAGATGGGGCCTTGAGTGTGGTGAGCAAATCATATGAAGCATGTTCACCTGGCCTCGCGAAATCAGCAGTTCCCCATGTTATCCGCATTAACTTCTAGGTCACTCATTATTCCCTGACTTAAGTCAGAGCCAGCTTGTCCTCCGGCTGGGTGTCCAGGATGAAACAGTTGCAACTTGCAAACAACACGTCTCAGACCGTTTGAAGATGATGACCCACAAGGGATTTCGAATAGTCATATGTAGAAGGAAAATTAAAACAACTAGCCCACCGCGAGGGTCGAACTCGCAGCCTTCAGATTACACCCGCTTTCAGACGGTAAGAGTCTGACGCTCTATCCGATTGAGCTAGGCGGGCGATATCATTTGATTGCGCCTGACGTCCATGAGTCAAATTAGTTACCTTCATACCCTGCTTTGCTGAAAGTGATGTCGCTGAATTTGTTTTGGTCAAGCATTCCAGTCTCCTGGACCACACCATAAGTAGCCATTTGCATCAATCGGAAGACTTGACATCTGCCAGCATCTGTCATATGATTGCTCTCGGGAAGCGTCTTGAACTCGCAGATATAACTAGGCACCATGCACGCGATGGCGGTATCCGCTACCGTCGTCCGAGCCGTCCTCAGGTCAGTGGATAAGTATTGTGAGAGCGCAGGTGTATGTGTGAGCTCACAAAAGTATTCAGACGGATTGGAGTGCGATAGAAGAGCTCTTCTGGTGTAAAGAGCGCAACAGACCTCTAGGACTATGGCTTTCAAAGCTGGGCATATCCCGGTAGACGGTAACTCCACTGTCCTCTATTATGAAGATACCGGCGTACCGAAAGGCTCTTCTACGTATACAACTGTATTCCTGGTACACGGTGCCATGTTTCATGGCGGTGAGTGAATATCGCGGAGGTTGAACCGTTCGTCGGATCATCTGAGCTCTGCTCCCCAGCTACATTCAGGCGCACTTTCCCGTATGCTGCAGCCAATAATCTCCGGCTCGTCGCCCTCAACCTACGTGACTACAACGGTTCAACAGCATTTAGCACCGAAGAGCTTGAGCCCTTAGAAGGGCCCGTAGAGTGTCAGATAGCATGGATGGACGCTCGCGCACTGGAGATTGCCGCGTTCATTTCGCGGTTCATCGAGTCTGAAGACCTACCTGCGTTCGCCGAGTCAAGTACTGGTTACGACCGCGTTGGGGGATTTGCTCTACTGGGCTGGTCTATCGGGAACATTCTGACACTCGCGATGCTCGCGCGGGCTGATAAGATGCCAGAACACACGCGGCAGCTCTTCAGCACCCACTTCCGGTCTTTACTCATGTTAGGTGAGTTCATTCCCCTCACCACAAGACGACTCATTCTCATCCTATACGTCTGCACAGATATCGCTCCGTTCGCAGTAGGAGAAACACCGCCAGAATCCCTCTGGTGTCCGCTGCGGGATCCATCTATCACGGATCCCGCAGAAATCCTTTCCCAGCTCAATGATTGGGTAGGCTGGTACATCACCAAGCTCCCTGCGCCCACTACGGACGTGTCCGTCCTCGCCTCCCGCAAACCACTCCACAAAGTGGAAGGCTCCGACGCATTGCGCTTCACGCCCACTGTCACAAGGATGACGCCCGCAGAGGTCGCGGGCATCACAAACGCCCAGACTCTGTTTGGCTCGCAGATGAAGATGTTTGGGATCCCGCTGGCCGTCTGGGAGGCCGATATGCGACGTGCTCTTCTCGACTGTCCGCGCGAAGATGACGGCGCCCAGCCGGTATGGCCGACCGTGCGGGTCAAGGCCATCTGGGGAGATATGACCTCTGATGATGTCGTCTATGCGACTGGGCAGTTGTCTGAGAAGTATGCTGCACAGCAGAAGCTCGGACGCCCTGGTATAAGGCCTTTGGAGATCCTGAGATTTGAGGATGGAAATCACTTCGTGAGTCTGTCTTGGTCTCAGGTTTATTCTAAGTATTGATGCAAGACACATCAGCCTCACTGGGACGTTCCTGAGAGATTTGTGATGTTCCTGGCTGATCACGTGTAGCTGCTCAAGCCGAGCTGCAGCCGGGACTGCTCCCCCCTTCTCACCGATGTGCGCCCTTGTAACATATCAACGCCACGGTCATGAATTCTCTTCACCCAATACACCCGAATGGAACTAGGTATAACACCCTTCTGACAGTCGTAAAGGCTGCATTGCGCGCCATAGGAGCATGTCGCCGGAGAATATTTCAATTCTTATGGCTTGAGAATAGAAGTCTTCGGTCTCAGGGTCATCCTAACCTTGTCCACGAGATTGGGTTTGGTGGAACGAACGTAAGAGCGCTGGACGCTAGGGTGATAGATAATGATCCGATGGCGGCTTCTTGAGCGCAAGAGGAAAGGACGCACCACGGAGACATCGGATCGGTATGCAAAGTGACCTAGTCGGCATCCGATATATTTGTCTTCGGAATATATAGTGGAGGGTGCTAATGCACAGTTCTGGGCTTCCCGGACATTTGCAGAGTGCCCTCATTAGCCGCCTGAGGGTTATCTCGCCTGACTATTCTTAAGCATGCCTCTTGGACCTGCAGATGACAAGGGTACCCTGCTTTACTACGAAGACACCGGTGTTCCGGACGAATCTCCGACCTACTTAACTTTGTTTCTCGTCCATGGAGCCTTGTTCCACGGAGGTGAGTGAATCGATATCGCGCTCTAGTTTTGATTGACCTGGCGCGACTCGTCCAGCCGTGTTCCGGCGCATGTTTCCGTTCGCCGCTACGCACAATCTGCGCATCATAACCGTGAACAAGCGCGGCTATGTTGGCTCGACGCCTTTCACTTCCAAGGAGCTCGACGCCCTACGAGGCCCTGTTGAACAGCAGAGAGAGGCGGTAGAGGCGCTAGGGATTCAGCTAGCACATTTCATTGCGTGGTTCATTGAGAAGGAGAAGATCCCTCCCACGTCTAGACTCGCAGAAGGGAATGGTGCGCGCACCGGGGGGTTCGCGTTAGTGGGCTGGTCCGTAGGCAACATCGTCACATTCTCGCTTATGGCCAATGCAGACAAGCTTCCTGAGCAAACCCGCAGGCTCTTCGAGTTGTACTTTTCTGCTTTCATTGTTTACGGTGAGTACTTGTGATGCATTGAGATGTCAGGTTGACACTGTCATGACTTACTTACTGTGATTTTGTTGCAGACATGCCAATACGAGCATCAGGCGATCCCTTCGAACATCTCATATATTCACCCTGGCGTGATCCATCTCTGTCAGAGGAGAGCAGAATAAAAGCATTCGGGTCCTGGATATCCACATACTGCCTTCCTCTCGTCAGTCTCACTGGCGACGCAGCTACAATTGCCGCCCGCAAGCCACTTCTGGAGAACGGGTCAAATCGCCCCGTCACTACGGTTGCTCGGATGACCCCGGATGAACTCGCGAGTACCACTGACATGGCCGCATTCGAGCACTCGCAAATGCTCGTGCTCGGCGTAAATCCTATCATCTTGCGTGACAATGTACAACGAACATTGATTGACGCGCGGTTCGATGTCGACAGCGGCGGGAAGAAGGTGCTCTGGCCAGCATTGCAAGTGAAGGCTGTGTGGTGCGATATGACGATAGGGGATGTCGTCCTGTGGCACTTCAGGCTGCTGCAGCGTTGGAAGACGGAGCAACAACTTGGGCATGGCGGTGCGAGGCCGTTCGAAGTCTTCAGGTTCGAAAAGGCCAATCATTTCGTAAGTCATGTGATAACATGGGAATGACGGGATGCTCATCTCTGAGCGCTTGAGCAGCCGCACTGGGACGATGCGGAACGCTTCACGGAATTCATGGCGAGAATCCTGCGGTAACCCACAAGCGCAACACTCATGTTTGTGAGATACGTGATATTTGTCCCGGGCCTAGTATTAGAGCCTGCAGCGCGATACCCCGTCATGTTAAACATCTGGCTATATTTTTCCACCTATGATATGCTCATTTTTCTGCAGCCACACTGGGATAATGATGAACGGGTCGGGCATTTCTTAACGGATATCTTCGAATAAATTTAGTATAACTTACAAACACAGCGATTAGGTTTGGCGCCTCTCGTTGCGCAGTCTAGACCTGGTTAGCAGTAGGGGAAGCGGCCGTACATGTATATGCGAATCCTCTGGACGTTCGGTCCATCTACGGCATGACACCCTGAGGAACAACGAGCTACACTGTCCCCTCACGCATTCGCTAATCCAACAAATCCAAGAAGAGCTGCAGATCCCTTGTCGAGGTCCCATTCTCATCCCAAGCGCGCTCGAGTGCCTCCTTCGCCTTCTACGCATTCTCCCTCCTTCTACGCATTCTCCCTCTTTCTTGCGCCATCTTCACCAAATCACTTACCTCCGCCCGAGCTGACTTGACAGTACCTACTGGGACCTCAGTGCGATAGATCGGCTTGAGCCCGTTCCCGCCGCGCAGTTCGAGCAGTTCGTATGCGACGTTAATATTAACAATCTGTACACAGCTATCGTTCTGTTCGTTCTAAGTCTACATATCAGGGCCATCACATATACGATCTATTAGAGAACCGTTTCGCGCTCTGGGAGAGACAGACTATCCAAGAACGAAACCAGGTCTGTCGTCGAAGTCCCACTCGCGTCCCAGCAGCGCTTGATCGCTTCCTTCATCTTCTGCGCATTCTCTCTCTTCTTCGCGCCGTCCTCACCGAAGGCCCGGTCAAGCACTTCACGCGCTTCTGCACGAGCCGCTTCGATGGTGCCTACGGGCGTCTTGCCCAAGCGGAAGATTGGCTTTAGCCCGTTCCCGCTGCGCACCTCGAGCAGCTCGTAGGCAACATCGAGGTTTGCGGTGAGGTGCACGGCATTCGAGGGCTGTTCGGCGGATAAGGGCCAGCAGATCCTGATGTGCGTGCAATCAGTACATGTCCCGCTTCACTGATGCACAACAGTTTACATGGGCACACCGCAACTGAGCGCCTCCATCGCACCATTGAGGCCCGCATGCGTCAGGAACCAACCTGTCGCCTGAGCGGCATCTAAACATCAATATAAACTTCTCAGGCTGAGCGGTGACACAGAAACGCACCGGGTGGCTTAGGATCGTCTGCTGAGGGGTCCAGGGTGCTAGGAGACCGAGCCCGAAGTTCTTGACCTTCTCTTTCACAGCGTCTGGCACCACGGCAAAAGGGGACGCGTGGCTCATGATCTACACAGCTCAATGGTCAGTCTCAGAATGATTGCACTCCAGAAAAAGCGCGTACAAAGGGTATCCTTTTCTCCATTAGTACATCAAGCACCTCCCACACTTTGTTCGCATCAGTGGGCCACCATACAGAGCCGAACGACCACTAACACCACAGATTAACTTGTATGCAGGACGAAG